TCTCGCTTTTTTTTTTTTTTTTTTGGTAGCTTTGGAACTCAGGTCCTTCACACTAAGCTCTACTCCAAGTCCCTTTTTATTTTTTATTTTGAGATACAGTCTCAGTCACTTAAGTTGCCCAGGCTGTGCTCAGATTTGTGATCCTCCTGCTTCAGCCTCCCAGAGTGGTAGGATGACAGGTGTGCACTTACTCTTGTGCACTTAGCGTAGTTTGACTTACTCTCCTGATACACATCTCCGCTGGAGGTATGACGGTGATGCCTGTCCCCATTACCTGTGGGTCAGGGCTCGGTCTGTTGAGGCTCTGTGGGGTGTCCAGTGAGCATGGGCCTGGCCCAGAACAGCCCTGTGGAGGACACCTCTTATTCCTGTCACAGACCTGGGATGTCTCGGCCCTGGGCCTTTGGGGTGTGAGTTTCTCATGACTTAAGAGTTTAGGGTCTGGGGCAGGAACCCTTCTCCTGACCCCCAAACAGCTCCAGTGCGTCATCTCTGCCTTGGTTCCTGCTTTTCTTCCCTGTGCCCCCCAGGGACCCCCAGTGCTCAAAGTTCATGGCCACCACACGGTTTCTGTGCCCACAGACCCAGGCAGGAGTCTCACTCCCTGGGGACGTGCCATGCATGCCATGGGGGGATCTGTACCCGCCAACTCCCAGTCCCAGTGGTGGCTTTGACACTGATCACACTGGCCCTTGGGAATTCATTTCCCTGCTAGTCCAGATCTGTCCCTGGAAGGGTCACTGGGCAGTGCTTCTTGGGTTTTTCCTGAGGAAGGGGAGGTGGGCTCGTGCCCTCCCAGCTTAGCACCCCTGTATCTCAGGCAGCCTGGGCCCCTTGCCACATCCCCCAGGGAAGAGAAACTGACACTGTGAGGCGGATAGGACAGGGAGGCACCTGGGACAGTTGCAGCTGGCCAGGAGCCCTGGGAGTCCTGGGTCAGGGTTGCCGCAGCCAAAGCAGGCGGATGACAGCACAGGGCCTGTCCAGTCTTCGCCTGGTGTGCTCTGCCCTGAGGTGGCTACGGAGGTGACAGGAAGGAAGCTCAAATTTCCCTGGATAGAAACAATACTGATCCCTAACCCTGTCCTCCGACCACCAGACTCTCGCCCAAGCTGTAAGGCAGTGGAGGTTTCTGGGGCCCTGGTGGCTGCCCCTGGTGAGAGAGAGCCACCGGAGAGGGATGTGGCTGCCACATCTCTCTACTCCCCCTTGGCAGTCAGAGTCTGAAGCTGGGAGGTAGTGTCAGCACGCTGTGTGCACATGGGTAAACTGAGGTCCAAGTAGACAAGGAGTCCTGGACCTGGCCAGGGCAGCGGGGACCTAGAACAGCCCCCACCTCCAGCGACTCCCTACCTTTTCCAGCTGCAGTATTAGTAAATCTAGACAGGAAGTGAGGGGCGGTCTCCACATCATAGCCACCACCAGGTAGAAGACAGGAAATGGTCCCCGCTTCCTGTCTCGTGCCTTGGCAGGTCCTTCTGTACTCTGCAGGTACTCAGTATGGCAGCCTCAGACAGACAGATGCTCTTGCCTCCCATTAGATGCCCCCTCTGATTTCCCTCCCTGAAACACAGTAAAGGTAACCCAGAGGTGGCAAGGGACACACTCTTGCATCCTGAGAACAGACTCACCCACTCTGCCTCATGCTGGCCTCCAGAGCCACCAGAGATAGGACCACTTCCTGGCACAAGTGTCTGGTCTTGGCATGGTCCCCAGCCTCCTACTGCTAGGGCCTCACTCCAGGAAGGACTCTAGGTGGGGCAGTAAAGGCAGGTAACTGTGCCTTGGGCTGGGCCCAGTGCCCCACAATATCCAGGTGTGCTGGGCCTCACGTGACTCCAGGCTGCCTGGGTTTCTCCCCCAGGGCTGACTCCAGCCAGTCAAGGGAGGACCCCAGCTGGACAAGAGTCAGTGCTACCTGGAATTAGGGTGCAGCAGCTGGCCAAGCAGGCCTGGAGCTGTCCCAGCGCCAGCCCCTCATGTGGCCACTTTCCTGACACCTCCCGCTGTCCACAACCCGAGTGTGCTTGCACACTCACATCCTCTGCCCTACACTTGGCCCAAGGTTGAGCCCTGCCCTAGGCTGTCCTCCTGTGAAGCCATGGCCCTCTTCTGTGTCCCTCATGCAGCTGCGGCTGACACACCCAGAATGCTCAGAACTTGGCGTTTCCCTTGTGTGAGGCTGCACCCTGCTGCCCTTGGGTCTCAGCCCAGGCAGGACCATGCCTCTGGCCTGCCAGATCCCAGCTGGATGACCTTGAGCAAGTCTCCCGCTCTGCTAGTCTCTTGCCTAATCTGAAAATGGGCAAGAAAGATATTCTGCTGGGCGATTCAGGAGAGCCAGCCCCATGCAGCTGAAAGTGCTGGGATATCAGCACTGCCACCACCACCTTGATCGAAGTCTTGCTGTGCACAGGCAGGAAACCCCTCTGAGGCCCCCAGGCAAATTCCCCCAGGAAGCTGGGGCTGGGGCCTCAGCTCCTCCTGGCAGCCCAGCGAGAACAGGCATATGTCTGCCCCATCCAGCCTCAGCCTTGGCCAGGCCAGAAAGAGGAGGCAAGACAGAGGGCATTTCTGTTGGGGTCAGGGTCTCCTGGCCAGTGCCTCTGGGGACACTGTCCTTCCCTGCCCCCTAACCACCCCTGCTAATCACTAAGCAAGATGTGCATGAAACCTGACCCGAGTGCACCTGATATCATCTCTGGGTACCAGCCTCCTGCTCCATGCAGCCCCCGCCCAGGGGTGCTTATCCCAGAGGGTGCACAGGAGCTGTGCCTGCGCTGGGGGATTAGCTCCCCAAGGTTGCAGGTATAAAGCCGCCTGTGCAAAGGTGGGCGGAAGCGAGGAGAACCAGCAGGCACCGTGGATGGACAGAGGTGGGCAGGGGAGCAGGCAGGAGGGCACCATGTTCTATGATTGCCTCTTCTTGGCTGCCTGCCAGCGTGAGTACCCACTGCCCGGCTGCAAGCCCTTTGTGGAAGACGTAGGTCCTCGATGCCACTCCAGCCCACCAAAGACAGGAAGCTGGAAGGGGACATGTTGCTATAGGCCACCAAGCCTTCTGGAGCCACTGCTCTGGCTGGAGAAGCCAAGGATCGCACCCAGGAAGGAGGCCCAGCCCCTGGTCCTTCCTAGCCGCCAGGCCTCTGGGGCAGGGTCTGTCTGTTGGCTAAAGGGGTCCAGCCTACCGCCTCATTGGTATCATCACTTCAGGACAAGGAGGGCTGGGTGGTGCTTCCAGATGTTAGGGATCCTGGGTATTCCCCTCTGCCCTGGGGACCCCCGTGGCATTTTTTTTTTT